ACTATTTAAAAACTCGTTGAAAAAGTTTTTTTGCAATAACGGACCCTATTTGCACAAATTCACAAGAGCGGACCCTGGTTGAAAAAATGTGACTTAACGTTTATTTTATATTCACAAATTACGAGTCATTTTTTCACAATTTTACGAAAACGGACCTTTCACAAAATGTCTGGACAGACCCCTGGCAATGTTGAGCGGACTTTCCAATCCTGTAACTTTATAAGAATGATGTTTCTGAAGCGTTTTCAATGCACGTTTTTGCATATCGCAAACACATCCTCAATCTCAGAACCCCTGTGTTCCCTAGGGTTCCGTGGAACACTTTTTTAGAACCGCTGATTTATGCCAATGTTTGTTTAGATACCAAAAACATTAACGCAGTTTACGAGTAATACTTCTCTTGCTTTTAATCACTCTCCACTTTTGTCTAAAGATAGTTATTTTAAAAATTAATCTTTTCTTTGCGGTTTATTGAGCATGCGCTCAGAAGCTACAGCTGTTACCCAACACTAAAAAAGTCTGTCCTCTCTTTGATCATATTCTAAAAGTTCGGTCGCTGATCTGTAATATGGTTAAAGTTTCCCCAAACAAAAGCGCCGTTTTCTGAATGAGATTTCATGTTGAATTGACCTTTTCCCGAAACCCAGAAGCCGGATCGATGTGCCGAGTCTGCGGCGGTCATTCACCGGATCGATCCCTTTTCTCCTGTCTCCCAAATTCCGGAGACGAACCACAGGAGAGACGAGCTCTCGCTCTTCCTTCTTTGTTTTTTTTCTTCTTTCTTTGCATTCCACTTTCGCTTATTGTATCCGCCCTTGATCTATTGTTGTGCCGATTATCTTAAAAGATAAATTTGGCGCAGTTTTAGAGCAATTGTATGAAACGCAGCAGGATTGGGCCGTAATTTAAAATACATGAGCTTCATTTTGTAAAGACGAATGTTGAATATTTATTTCCTTTTAACTAAATATGATATCTTTGAAAAAGATCTTTTCAGATTTAATATTAATAAATATTATTTATAGTTCGCAATTGTGATGTGAACTATAGCGAAGAAGAAAATAGTTGTTACAAGAACAAAAGAAAGTAAGGAATAGTTAAGTCAAATGGGCAGGATCATCATTATGGTTATAAATATTATAATTTCCATTTTAGTATGCGTACTTTTAGATAAATTAATTATTATTATTATTATATGTTTTAATTCACAGTTCATTTAGACATTCTTATCTTTAAACAAACTAATTTATTTATTAAAATATTTTTATATTACTATTAGACTTATGTAAAAAAGTACCGTGAAGGTAAATAAAAATCCTGCAAAAATAAATTATTTGTTAATTCATATTTTTCTTCTAAAGCTCAATCCCGCTTTCTTTTTTAATTGATACAACTATGAAATCATAATTATTCATGAAAATTATCAGTATTTATTTTAGTTTTTATATTTAGACAATATACCTCATGAACTTTGATTTCAGAAAATTATAACTTTATTTTTTATATTTTCGCATCAATTTATTTTATTTTCTCTTTCATTTCCGAAACAAAGCAAACAAAATATTGTACGAGGAGAAAAACAATTGAACGCATTACATACAATTAATATTTATTGCAACACCTTAAATGTAAGCTACTGGCTTAACAAGATTTAACTCCTTGAATAAAGAACTCATTTAAATCGAATCGTACTCATAAATTATACATTCAAATTAGTGATGAGATTTAAAAAGAATTCGAATTTTATCGTCTGCATTCAGATTAAACCATTTTCTTTTTCATATCTTGCAGACAATAAAATACCTTTTTAAAATTCTAAACATAATACGTGTGGGAAAAAAATAGAGCATTTACAATGAAGAAGACGAAGAGCAGACAAAAGAGTAAAAAAAAAAAAAAAGAAAGTTATTTCCTAGTTAAATATAGCCTCGGTTCCAGGATAACTTCTGTCGATAATGCTTGAAAAGATCAAACATCTTTTGACGTTGAGTCACGAATAGAAAACTATGTGAGTCACTCTGACGTCCAAATGTATTTTATCTTCGACGGTCTTTTGTCCCGTGCGATCAAGAATACTTTGATATTGATGAATGTTCTTATGATTTGTTGCGCTGTGTATATTTCAAAATACACTGGTTGCGCATATATTAAATAAGTGGTTGTAGTGTACTATAAAAGAAAGCCGGCTTCTATTATCTGAGGCCGAAGTCGAGTGATGTGAAAATAATAAGAGATGAAAGATAGCGGATTGAAAGATAATAATGAAATGTAGCGTGACTGGGATTTCTTTTTTTCTTTTTTAAATTTATTTTGACATTGAATTTTATTTGCTTCTCATTAAAAGGTTAAGTCAATGTTTAAAAAAATAATTTTAAAACCACTGTACTGTTTTTGCCTTTCCGTAAAAAATGCGATATTAGTTATTTTAATATCATTTTAAATATATTGATGTATGTTTTTCTTGCGTTATTTTATAGTACTCTCAAATATAGTAAATTCGTTGCTTTTTAATAGAATTTCGTTTTCTGCTATGTTTTACTTTAGATTTTTTTTTTGTTGCTGTTAATATAATTCTAATATAGTATTTTAGCTGTTCATGTTAATAGGATTTATCTTTTTCGTACTTATTGTTTTTGTTAAACATTTTATTTTAAGTAGTGGTTCCAAATCAATTTTTTCAATGAAGTAGGTCCCGAGCTTCCGGGCTCGGGCTGACGCCTCCTCTCTAGTAGGAGTCTACTGATTCATCATTCACTGATTTGATTAACTAAACATCCTGAAACTGAGTCGGGTTACTTGATTTGAATAAAATGTTTCAATGTCTCGATTAGAGTTGTGGTGGCTCAGGGGATAGAGCGCTCTCATTTAAATGAGGTGAACCGGGTTCTAATGCCAGTGATGGCTGGTAGATAAGAATTCATCACCTGGCTCGCACCAACCACACTTTTGACGTAAATTATCCTCAGTGGTAGACGGATCATGAGTCAGAGTTCAATTGCCGTCAGGCTAACCGTAGGAGGATTTCATGATTTTCCTTTCTATGCAACGCTTGCGGATTAGTTCCATCAAAAAGTCCTCCACGAAGGTAAATTTCTCCTAATATTTGATCCAGGAGTTTCCTTGTCTTCTGGATTGGGTTCAAGGCTACGGAGTTGGAAATTTGTAGTCATTAACTCTAAATTGGATCGTCTGATCAACGACGGTTATAAAATATAAAGTAAAATGTCTCGATTTAAACACTTTTTTTCTCGAACAAATTAAAATTACAGTTATTCCAGGAATCTAGTAGCTTTAATTTGCTTTTATTTCAAATCGATGCTGCAAAATATACATTTATTCCATAAATACTTAGAAATAGAAACTGGAGGGTAAATTATAATTGTAGCTATTATTTTTATATATATAAGCCATATTAGTTATTGTTAATTCTGGGAAATATATAGAATTTGTTGTCATTTTTTATTATTGATATTGATGTCGCTATTCGAATCAGTCAGTGATTTGAATCAGTAATTCAAGTTACCGAGGTGAAATAATTCGAAGCACTTTGAATCATCTCACCTCAGTAAATCATTCGGATCATTTCAAATAATTTCCCCTCACTTTAAATCACTTTGTTCTATTCAAATACATAAATACAATGATTTGCTTTGGTTTTAATTTTCTTTTTTCCCGAGTACTCACTTGGGTGTTTCCTTAAATATTTATTTCGGTGCTTGTAAAGAATGCTTCAGCACATTACATACATTTGCTAGCAACGAGTGTACTAAAAAAAAGGCAATTAAGATTGCGGTTTTTGGCGTGGCATGGGAACGAAAGGATCGTTGGAATTAGCGCGCTTAATTTACATATGCGGGTAAATCCGGTACGTTTTCAAACAAAATCCGTTTATTTGAAATTTGTTCCTTTTCTTGTTTGCCCCGATTAAATATTGCACTATTTTTTGCTCATATGAAGTGATTAAATTATTGATTTCTTTTAATGATTTTATCTTCAGATGTATTTTTCTGAACAACTTTGCATATTTAAATGACATCTAAGTATAAGTATTAAAACAAATATTTATAATTTTGATAAAGTTATTTGAACTACAAGCAAATTTATTACTGCTTAAAGCAACTCAAGAGGGCGCTCTGGTGTAGAAATCCTTAATGGAAAATTCTTTTTTAACTTCATAATCAATTAAAATTTAAGAAGTTCAGGTAAACGCAGAGTAAATTGCAAGTTTCAATGCCGAAAAAATGTTTTTAAAATGCAGACAAATTATGGCAGGATTTCTTAGGATAATGATGTGGGGAAGTTATCCTGTAGTAATTTATCCATTTTGAAAGCATTTTTCCAGCAATTTAAATTTTATGATTTACTCTGCTGGGATCCATGTCTTAATAGTCTTAATGTGGGACAATGATCAATGAAAGGTCAATCAATCAATGAAATGTGTATTAACTTTTTAGTCTCGCTTTATGTTTGACGTCTGGGGTCCTATTATAATGTTGATTAAGGTTAAGTTAAATTTTAATTTTTTCACTTCTACTTTTTCTCGCTGACGATTGATACATTTCAAATGATGATAAAATACACGTAATCTATCTCGCCAAAAATAAGTGGTGACCCGGACGTGATTTAAACACGCAACATTTTGAAGTCAATGAAAATTCAGTCGTAATTAACATCATACAGGATCACAGAAGTCAAACTAAAGATGAGAAAATGAAAAAGCGGTACAACAATTCGTTTCAAGTTACACTTCAAGTTTGGTATAGAAGCTTACAGGTTCGACAGGTACACAGAAACTTCTCTACTTTAAACCTAGTAGTTCGTTGATTCCTCCACAATTTCTTCCGCGATGTAGCGTCTTCTTAAGGATATTTACAATTGCTGAAAGTCTTACATTTAATAACAAATTATTGTATAACATTGAATTTTTTATATGTCATAATTATCTTTATTTTAACATTCCCAAATTGGAATACTATATGTCATTTTTTTTCTTTTTGTAGGTGAGTGAATGTCTTGGAAAAGATTTATTATCGAATATTTTTAAGTGATAATAGTTTTTGAAGATTGTTTGGATACTTAATTAATTGTGTGACAAATGGATTATATATAATTGAGTAGATCATCGAGGAAAACTCTGCAATGGTAAGTTAATAAAAATCATATCAGTTAAAAGCGGTTCCCTTTATCAACATATTACGACTGATAAAAACTCTTTGATTTCAATTTTTAATATCTTATTTATTTATCTGGAGACAATATTTGTCAAAGCAAAATTATAATTGATTGCAAACATCTTTAATGCGCCGCATAAATTCTCGTTTTCTCTTAATAATTCCTGGATATTTTTCTTTTTTTTTTGTTGCATAAATTTAATGATCCAAACTTTGTGGGCAATCATTTTTAATGTTAATATCATGAAAACTTTATTAACATTGAAATTATTTCTTACAATATTGAATATTTATAAAATTAAATATATTATTATAGCTTATTTACTGATTTGGTATGAATATAAATTGTTTAACAGCACTTAAATGTTTCATTTTGCATTGTAATACTACTTATTTTAAGTACTACGGAAAATAATTCATCTGCAGTAATTGAGGAACATTGTTACAGATTTGGCTTTCTTGCTCTATAAAAAATTCCGGATCAAATTACGGCATGAAGTACAGGCACTTCAAATCTATCATCCGTAATATCCCTTTTATCATAAAATCCATTTTTATTGTAAAATATTATACCGTAATTTTTACAGTAATATTTATTTAACTATAGTGACTCAGTGATTATACGGTAATTAATGTAAAAATTCGGTATAGCAAAATTTTTTATTCCGTAACATAACCGGTAAAAATGGATTTTACAGTAAAACGTAACGGTGCTACCCTGTCTGCCGGTACATTTTACCGTCATTTGATTCGGAACTTTTAACAATGTAGCTGTTTTTATAATTTTATAAATTTCCCTTTTAATTGGCAACTTCTAACTGCTTTGGAAGAAAAAAATAATTTTTTCATCAATATTTTTGTTATGAAGTAGTTGTTATTAATGAATATATTTAGAGCAGCTTATTTTTTAATTTGAGCAAAGCGATAAAGCATCAAATTCAATATATCACGCTTTTAAATTGCTTCGTATAACATTTAATATATCTTCTTCATCATTTTGCAATTATAAAAAAATACTATGTTTAAATTATATAAAATTATGTTGTGTCTAAAAGAATTTCCATACATTTTTTAAGAAGTTTTTAAGATAGTTTTTTCTAAAATATGCCTATTTTTATTCATCCCTATGGTAACTATGAGTTACACTGTGCAAATCTTTTATTCTTTTTACTAATATTTATGTTATTTTGGCAACAGCTAAAAATTATCTCGAGATTAAGATATGGTGTTAATGGTGGCTTCACTACATCAAAAATCTCAATATAAGTACTCATTTGTTTAAAAGAAAAACTACCTGACTGTATAAAGCCTATTGAAAAGTAATTTTGAGCACCAATCGTTACTTCAGAGATATCATTTGCAATTAAAATCGAGTTATATTTTTACACGCAATTGTATTCCATATCTTATGGATTTTTTTCCTCTTTAAAAGGTGTGTAACGTAAAAAATGAAATCAATAATGTTTCGTAAAGGTGTTCTAACATTTCGTGTTCTAACAGTTCGTCCTGCGTAAAGGTGTCTAACATTTGTATGACTGATCTTTCGAATAAATAACTTCTCGTCCTTCTGATTTTGCCACAAGTAAAGTTGAATTTTATGATTTCAATTTGTATTACAACGATTGCAATTAAAAGAAACAAGTTTTTTTTTTCCTTCCTCCCAAGATTCGAACGTTCTGTCTCAATTACTATCCTTTGAATAAGCAGTTAAGATCTTGAGTTTGACAGCAATACACGTGTGCGTGTTTTCTGCGACAGAAGCTTCATAAAATGGCTAAAAGTAAATCCGCTCACTTTCCCCAAACGGATGCACCTGCCACGCGACTGATAACTAAGCGGGAAGGAAGCGAAGTGAAGAGAGTTCTTGCGTGCCAGAATAGATCTCTCTATTTTACTCCATCATAGAGGAATTAACTTTCGTTAGGATGATTTTTTATGAAAAAAATTCGGAAGTTGAAATTTGAAACTCCATTTTTTATTTAGTTTTTCTATAATCAATTAATTCTGCGAAAACACGCTTTTTTTTCCTTCTTTTTTTTTCATATTTTAACAACTTTCGTGTTACTTCGGATGCGCTTTATAAATATTTCAAATTTTTTCCTTTTGTGGCTTCATTACTTTCACTTACAATAGAAAAATGATAGCTTTACATTGACCTTGTGTCACAAGGTTTTTTTATTTTATTTTTTGACTGTTTGTTACCTAAATATCGCGTGATAACATGTATGTTTAAAGCTAAGTAAAAGCAATATATTTCATCATTTTCAAAAGAGGAATTGTTATTTTATTTTAAAAAAATTTGCATATATATACATTTTGCTGGAAAATAGGTGGAATAAATTTCACTATGTATCTATGTGAAGACGGAATTCATTTTGACAATGTATCTGAGATGTAAAGACAGAATTCATTTGGACGATGTATCTAAGATGTGAAGACGGAATTCATTTTGACAATGTATCTGAGATGTGAAGACAGTATTCATTTGGACGATGTATCTAAGATGTGAAGACGGAATTCATTTTGATAATGTATCTGAGATGTAAAGACTGAATTCATTTGGACGATGTATCTAAGATGTGAAGACGGAATTCATTTTGACAATGTATCTGAGATGTGAAGACAGAATTCATTTGGACGATGTATCTAAGATGTGAAGACAGAATTCATTTGGACGATGTATCTGAGAAGTGAAGACAGAATTCATTTGGACGATGTATCTAAGATGTGAGGACGGAATTCATTTTGACAATGTATCTAAGATGTGAATACGGAATTCATTTTGACAATGTATCTGATATGTGAAGACGGAATTCATTTGGACGATGTATCTAAGATGTGAAGACGGAATTCATTTTGACAATGTATCTAAGATGTGAATACGGAATTCATTTTGACAATGCATCTAAGATGTGAAGACGGTATTAATTTTGACCATATATCTAAGATGTGAAGACTGAATTCATTTTGACAATGTATCTAAGATGTGAAGACGGAATTCATTTTGACAATGCATATAAGATGTGAAGACTGAACGATGTATCTAAATTCGCTTAATCATATATTATATTCATGTACAGTGCGCAAAGTTAAAAACGGACCACCCTGAAAAGCTTGAAATCTAAAGATCGGATCGTCACATTCTAAGACTTAATCTTCATGGTTTGCGGGGGTGACCTNAAAATTAATAAGTGCAGACGATATTTTAAGTTACGAAATCAGATACAAAAACGTACTTTCTCTGAATAAAAATACTTTTTTCCCCCCCAACGGATTTGGATTTTTTACCCTCAAAATATAAGGTGTAGCCGCAATCTGGAAAATATGGTCCCAATAGTTTAATCACGAGAGCCCTCCAAAGTTTGGACCCCTTAATGTTAATTTGACTTTTTGCATATATCACCATATCTCAAGAAATTTTTAACCGAATCGAAAAAAAATTTGCACACAATTAAAAAATCCGTTTGTTGAATGATAATTCGATGCAAAAACTAAGTTTAAGTAAATATTTATTATTTTTTATTGTTTTATTTAATAATAATCGAAACAAATTTTAAATTATAAGATATAAAATTTTTACACCATTTTAAAGTGCGTAATTTTAAATAGTGAAATACAAAATTTGAGCGAAATCGGTTGAATAAGTTCCTAAGAAATCGAATTTTAAATATACGATTTTTATGAAATTCTATTTATTTCAGAGCTATTCTACCGATTTCGCGCAACTTTTGTATTTGGTAATTTAAAATTACATATTTTAAAATGAATAAAAAATTTTATACCTTTTGAAAAAATTTTCGACCATTATTAAGTAAAACAATAAAAAATAATAAATATTTACTTAAAAATTATTTTGTGTATGGAATTCTCTTTGGCAAACGAATTTTATAATAGCGTGCTAAAAATTTTCAATTCGTATAAAAAGTTCTAGAGATATGGGGAAATATGTAAAAAGTAAAATTAACATTTAAGGATTCCAAATTTTGGATCTCTCTCCTGACTAAACTATGGGGGCCATATTTCCCAGATTGCGGCTACACCCTATATTTTAGGGGGGCATAAATCCGATTCCGTGGAAAAAAAGGTACTTTTATTTAGATAAAATACGTTTATGTGTCTGATTTTCGTATATCACCTGCTCTAATTGATTAGCATATTTTAGGCCACCCCCTGGAACCATTGAGTCCTAGAACGTGAAGATCTAAACATTATTATTAGATCTGATCGTTATTCAGGGTGGTCCATATTTTTTTCCCCCGCATTGTACAACCAAGTCCATTTTGAGTTAAGAAGCTTTATATATTTCGTTCTCTTTTATGTTTTTAAGCTGCAGCTGGCTTAGGGGATAGAGCGATCACTCTCCTATGAAGTGAACTGGGTTTGAATCCCAGCCATGGCTGGTCGATTCGAATTCCGCGCCATGTTTGCATCGGCCACAGTGCTGACGTAAAATATACTCAGTGATAGACGGATCATGGGTTAAAGTCCCCTTGCCGTTAGGCTAACCGTGGCAGGTTTTCGCGGTTTTCCTCTCCATGTAGCGCAAAAGCAGTCCTCCTCGAAGGCAAATTTCTCCAAATACTTGATTCAGGAGTTCTCTTGTCTTTTGGATTGGGTTCAAAATTACAAAGCTGCGGAGTTGAACATTGGTAGTCGTAAACCCAAAAAGTTAGATCGGCTGTTCAACGACGGTTATAAGATAAAATAAAATAGTAAAACTGAAATTATCGATCTCCTGAACGTGTTATTGGAACCATATTTTCGAATAGCAACCCTTTGTACCATTGAATTTGGAAAGAGTGTCATGATGGGTCTTTGTGGCAGCCACTATAATAAGTACCGTAACCCTCCTTGGACTGCGTTTGTACAACTGTGATGTTTGGAGCATCTTACTACGGACCCGGATGTACTGGGTTCGAATCCCAGGCAACGAACATATCTTTCGTACATTTCTCCCTCCACCACGTCCAC